TAAATCATAGATGATGAAATATATAATAATCCAAACCTTCATTCGGAAGATCAAGATGATTTGGAAATTCCTTAAAGTAAGTAATATAAAAAGTCTTACGATATATATATCTCTTAAATTATTAATTTAATTAATATACATTTAGTGAACATCGAGCTATTTAATGATGCAGTAGAACATTATGCGTAGAAGCACAACTATTAATTCCTGTTTCAAATTTATTTGACATTAAATTTGAGTTGGATCAATGAAATTTGTTATTTGTGTATGATAATAAGTTTCATTTGAAACGTGACGCGTTACTATTATATAGTTTATTTGATATTTCTATATTGGTACTTAGGCTGAATCTAACAATTTTAATTCGCTGATTTTTATTACATAAATTTATATTTAGATTTAAAATTAACTGGTTTTTTCCTAGCAAATTATATTTTTATTTAGCAATTTTTTTTTTTTCGTGAATGTAACGAGGTTGTGTAACAAATAAAATCACTAATCCAAAAATGAACGTACACATGATTTTAAAATTAAAAAATGAACAAAAGATTATATTGATGGATTTGAAAATTCAGCTATTCTATTATACGAACCCTCATAATTTTTTCTATTTAAATTATAAATTAAAACAAGCTCTCAACAATTGAGGGGGGTAAAATTTCCAAATTTAAAATACGTGATTTCTGACCTTCCCCTTAAGAAAACCATTTTTATTTAAATAAAGACAAAAGAGATAAAAAAAAAAGAAGCTTTTTCATTCTACTGATTGATTATCATCGGAAAGTTGAGGTTGTGCTGGAAATCTTCCTCTGCCTCTTCCTCTTCCTCTTCCTCTTCTTCCTCTTTTCCTTTTAGAATATGATTCTGAATGAACATTACTAAATGGTGAATAAAAAGTATAATATTCAAGTATTTTAATATAAAAATCATCTTCAAAAATATTTTTAAGTGGTTTGATTTTGTGAAAGAATTCAGCGGGACTAATTTTTTTAAAATCTACATGAGGTAAAAATGGTTGAACTATTGAACTGAAAATTGATATTTCATTTTGCGTCCATTTTGTAATATCGAATGATAATTCATCGTTAGATTTTGAAATACTCCATTCTAATAATCTATCCCAAACTTCAATAGGATTCTCAGAGTGATTATTTTTCTCTAAAACGTCAAGGAGGATTTCTTGTTTGATTGTCGTAAAATCTTCTGCCATAAAGATTAAGGAGGGGTCTAGTTCAAAATTAAGCTCACAAAATTGAACCAATTTACTAAACTGATTATATTCGCTTGAAACGCTTTGAATGAGAATAAAATTTTGTTTCAATAATAATTCGTCACTAAGAAGATATTCTTCAATAAAATTGCATAGGCCGTTAAGACATAATTCATCGGCAGCAATTAAAAGTGCGATATTTGTTTTAATATCGTTACCGTAAAGGTCAATAAAACTACTATACATGTACCTATTAATTGAATAAAAAAAAATCCATAAGTTAGTTTTTTTATCTTTACAAAAGTACTAATTATTGAAAATGATACATTGTAAAAGATAGTTACTTTATAAGAATATCGAAAACTTCAACAGAAATATCTGATATTTGCAACTTAATAACGTTATTTTCTATTCTTTTTGAATCTTCAGATAAAGCAGTACGGAAATAAGGTGAACGTATTTTTAAAATTAAAGAGTGTGCTTTATAGACTTTTGTATCGGGCTCTTCTCCAATCAAGATTTCTGTATCCGAAAATTCATTAGAATTAAGCAATTCATCATATTCACTATGCAATAAATCTGACAGTTCGGAAGACATTAAGAAATTTTTTTTTGGAAAATAATTACAAGGTTTTGGGTAAAATTTGTTTTTTTTAAATGTGATTTTCACACATTTTTACTAACTATCAGTCCGGAAATTAAACAGCTTTTGATAACGATTTGGGTTTTCAATGTAACCTAAAAGAAAGCCACAAAAAAAAAAAAAATAACTTGATTTCGTTGTAAATGGAAAAAATCATTCTTGAAGGACGAAAGGCGCTTAAAATGCTCAATTTTATCAAACTTAAGTGGATATTACCCTTTCTACATCAATTAAATACATTACGCAAATAAAGTAAAAATAGACTTACTTTCAACAATAAATGCGAACATAGCAATAGATTAATAAATAATTATTTATTTGTTAAGCATTTCACGTGACATACAACAGCGACTTTAAAATATTATTAAATGGAAGGAATTTGATTCACATGTTGACCGATAATTTTATGACAATAATATATAGATGATAAATCAAGCTAACCAACCAAAGTAGGGCCCAAAAATCCTTAACCGGTTAATAATCGGTTAAAATTTTCTTTAACCGGTTAATTAACCGGTTAAATTTAACTCAGGCCGGCACTATAAATTTGGGCAAAACT